CATAGTATGCAAGCATATAACACAGTACAGCCTCACCATCCCTTCCCAGACCCAGGCGCACTACTACTATCTCGCTACAGAGGGCGCAGACATGAAAAGGCGCCGCGCCGCCGCGTGGCCCCTCCCAACTCACTTAGCACCTTCAAACCTTGGGCGCGCAAAGTGATGGCGGGGAATGAAGCAAAGCTTTCCAACGGTCCACTATCTCAATGAGAGGGCGCAGACGCGAATCGGCGCGGTTCACTCGGTTCGGCGCCACTTTCAAAAGAAATCGGCATCGTTGCAAGCAGACGAGCGACATGGCAGAAAAGTCATCGCTCGGGTGAATGCTATGCATTCGACTTATTGTAAGCATGGAAGATGGCATAGAGCCCTCTGGGTGGATATAGCGTGAATACCCCTCGGGGTTCTTGGCATAATGCTCAACATGGGTGCGTAGTCCTCCTTCACGACTTACCATCCCAACATTAAAATTAAGTCTTGCCTTGTGCACCATTTTGAATTTTTGCAGAGACGCACTTCATATATTGTTGTTCTGTTTGAAGAAAGTGAGTCAGTACATTCGTTATACCGTATAACACATGAAAGAGGATGAGATTAGTGTAGAGACGCACCTTGTCTGTTGACTCAGCAGCACGGGCCTGATTTCCTATCTTTGTCCCCACACGTTTCATTACTGTTTCCGTATGAACTCGAGAGCACTAACTAGGTATAAAAAGGGCCTCAAACCGTCTATGCATTGAGGCTGGTGACGGCAACATAATGTAGAAGGAGGTGGCTGGTTGCCTCTTCAACAGTCGTGAAGCGAGGAGAGTGAACCCTTCGAAAGCTTCCAAGCTCACCTACGTTGTACTCTACTTTCTTTTAGACTGAGCTAAATTTGATTGTATGTATCTTCATTTCGCTGACGGGCGCGCTGAGTAGTTACTGTTGACGTCTCTGGCACCAATTAAGCCGAGAGTTTGGAGGCTCGGAGTATTCTCGGGAACCTGGTATTTTGAGGAAGGGCCTCCGTGTTTGGTACCAGTGCCACGACTTGTTTAGATGAGAACTTTTCATTCACATGAAAACTCCCAAAATAATTCCCTTCTGATCTTCACTTTCGAGTGTTTTGATCTACAGTCATGGTGCCTGCGCACTCCTCCCTTTTCACAGTGTCTGAACTACTTCTGGTCCCTCGACTTTAAAGAAGCCGATCCTTATTCAGAGAGGCTGTTAAGGAAGGCAACCGACAGCTTGCCTGGCAGATTGCCAACTTCAGGTGATGTCATTCCTGGGGAAAGACCACAGCATACCCATTTCACCTCAAGGAGCTTCAATAAGAACAATAAGTAAGATGGAAAAAAGCTTGCTAGAGGGCATTAAAATGATTACCTTCGTTCTTACTATCACATGTGCCATGCACTCGGCTTCCGTTCTCGATCGCCAAACCTATGGATGCGTACCCGCCTTATTACCACGGTACTTCACTTACTCATGGAATCCAACTCATGTGAAATGAGTCGCTTTTTTTTTGTAAATCAAGAAGGTGATTTGTGAATTCAACTCGTTTGCTGCTATGTATATACTGCGATGTGATTTTGCTGATTTGGTTTTCCCAAAAAAGGGTGTGGCCTCGAGCTGCTTGCATAACGCATATGATAGGCCTCGAACATCGGGAATTCTCCTATTCCTTCATTGAAAGGGCCAAACTGCCCAGTGCTGACTCCAATGCTGAGCCTAACCTGCTCTACCCCTCTGACGGCTCAAATACTAGCCTAACTCTCTGTTACCCTGCGAAGCACGCTTCATCCTGTTTCTCATCCGCAGGTCGGTAAAGGATTCCATTTGTGGAGTGGAAGGCACAGTGGTGTCGTAGGTGCATTTTATAATGTACCACTTACGACCAGACCCATTAATTGATTTTGTTAAGGTTTCGAAGCTCGAATAAACTGCCATCTGTGTTTTATTGCAAGTATGTGAGAAAAACTGGGAGAGGCGGAGCACTGATCTGATAGGATGCCCCACGTGGTCGGCTTCCATGAATATCCGCAGATCTGATAGATTGCCCATTAAGTCAATACTGGATGGAAGAAGGGGCATTAATGATTGTTTTTTTCGGAAAGAAATCGAAAGATGGAACTGCTTGACTCGTGAATTAACAATATGGAAAACATCCACAAAAAGGTACAGGGTCAGTTCAGTCGATATGTTTTTACAGCTGTCCTTGGGTAAAGTACATAGTTGATTATGGTGAGGATGCAAGATTCGTCCATTTTTTCCCATTATTGGCTAATTTTAGGGTGGACACGGAATCGAATCCGCGATCACAGGCTAACTAATTCTCCCATCCCACTGGGGCCGCGAACTAATTCCAGACCCGTTTAGGAGGATAAAGCTTTTACTTATGCATCAGCTCACAGCCACAATTCATTGGTTTGGCCACATACATTTCAACGGCCACTTCATCCTCATCCTTTTATGAATAATTTTCATAGAAACACTACTTTTACTGCCCTTTTGTGGACATTTTGCAGTATTGTTAGTTCACGTGCGTCCAGGTGTGTCCAGGCATTATCGACCATTGAGCGGTCGAGAAACTTGTTTCTGGCTCGTCTCTTCCTCTGCCCATCTTCCCCTATACCAACACACCTTACATCGACCACCATCATAGAATTTGGTCAATGTTTCATGAATATTTGTTTAAATTTTGTAAAAAAACACCTTTTCACCTTTAACCGGTCTTGTTATAAGGCTCTGAAGAAGCTTCGTTCGCCATTACTTCTGAGTTGTTTACTCTTTGAAATGTTCGAGTACAATGACCATTCCTACTGAACACTTTTATAACTGGTCACGAGTTTTTTCTATTTTTTTGTGCATGATGTACCTGTTCTTAATCTTTTTTTTTTGATTTTTTGGTGTTCGTCCTGGTACATAGTCACGAACTAGTCAGAGACTTGAAATTCCGTAATGCACCCCCTTCCCCGCACCTTAGAAACATTGCAATGATCTTTTCACACCTTTCTTGAAACGACATTTTTATGGTTTTCTGCGACCGAACTTCCCTTTTGGGGTACAGGTGGAGTGGATGCTTCCGAATATTTCGACACCGTCCGAAATAACATTCCATCAGTGCAGGTTCCTAGTTTGGGAAGCGTGCTATCTAGATCGATTGAGCTTCAATGCGCAACCCGTTTTGCACACGTTTAAACTGTCCTTTTTTGGAGGTCTTCCAGATTTTTCTTTTAAAGCGTTATTCCTAGAACACGTCTATACAGAGCTTAGAGAAAGTTTTGGAAAAAGTTTTGGAAAAAAAAAAGTTGATTTTTCTGTACCGCTCGGGGATCGAGGTGCTCCCACAGCGCCGACGTCCATTCGAAGTCGTTTTCTGCGAGGGTATTCAGCTGTTTTAATCCAAACAAGATTTCATCTGAAAAATAGTCTGGTCCATGGTGAACGCCTCTGAAGCAGCGGGAGACCTAGCTGGCTTGAGTGAAATATGACCATGTAGGAACAAAGGAAGCCACTGGCAGAGATAGATCCTTTGAAAGGTGTTCTGGACTTGTCTGACAATGAATTCCAGTTTTCCGATCGATAATTTTGCTGCGTCACAAATGAACTCGTTTCTATGGGGACACAAAAATGATGAAGCAACCCATGCA